CGCAAGAGCAGGGGAGGCTGGGCCCCTGCCCGCTCCGGCTCAGGGAAGTGGGAAGGGGCACAGAGCAGGAGAGGGCCAGCACCGTGCTCTCCCAGCAGCTCCAGACTCTTCCTCCCCCTATTGGTATGAGCCCCCCCACCCCGGTGCATTTACCGACTACACCACCATGCCGGCCACCTCGCTCCCCCTGGGTGGGCAGGGCACCCCGTCTCCTTGTGCACCAATAAGGTGACCCCCCCATCCATATTGCACGGTGGATGGAATGACACTGTACATCCGATCCCCTCCCCACCTGGGGAAAGTCCTCTCCTCCTTGAGAACCCTCTTCTCTCTCTCTCTCTCTCTCTCTCACACACACACACACACACACACACACACACACACACACACACACCCATGCAGGGAGGGAGTGGCTGACCTGAAGGCAGTTCCGTCTGGATGGAAGTTAGGTAAGTAAAATGTATGAGTCCGGGGGACCATGTGGGCCGGGGCAGAAAAGGCTCACACACACACACACACACATATTCACACACCCACACCCCTGTGAACTTCAGTAAAGTCTCTTTCACGCACATACACACCCCCTCACATACGTTGCAGAAAAGATTCACACATAGTCACCCCCACACACCTTTGTGAGATGCAGAAAAGTCTCTCTCTCTCTCTCACACACACACACACACACACACACACACACACAGAGTCTCACACACACACACCCTTCAGTAAACTGCGGAAAAGGGTCTCACACACATACACACACACACAGTCACACACACACCCTCTGTAAGCTGCAGAAAAGGGTCACACACACACACACACACACCTTTGTGAGCTGCAGAAAAGGGTCACACACATACAAAGTCAGACACACAACCCCTCTGTAAGCTGCAGAAAGGGTTCACACACACACGCGCACACACCTCTCTGTAAGCTGCAGAAAGGGTTCACACACACACGCGCACACACCTCTCTGTAAGCTGCAGAAAGGGTTCACACACACACACACACACACACACACACCTCTGTGAGCTGCAGAAAAGGTTCTGGAGACGGTAGGGAAGGTTCGAAGCGACACCTAGTGGGAAAAGAGCATCTCGTCAGCCTCTGAGGGGACTGAGCAAGGACCCATCTCTATGACAACCCCACTCCCCTGCCTCCTGGCAACACCTGTGGCACAGGCCAGGCCAGCAACAGCCCTGGCCGGACCCCTACATGCCCAGTGACTGTAGTCAGGGGCTGCAAGGAGCCCCAGCATCCCACACTGCCAGCCCCGTCCGGCTGGGGATACTGAGTCAGGCCCCAACACGGTCCTGAGCCTGGCTTTAAAAAAAAAATCACAAAGATTCGGCGGGAAAATACCATTGGTCTGCTTCGTACGGGCTGTTTGGACCCACGTTCGCGCGCCTGGGCCGGCGCTCCACGCCCTTCCCACCTCTCATCCCATGACTCCAGGAGCTGGGGCTTTGGGGAGGGCACACACTTCAATCCAGCCGTCTAGGACGACGCGCCCAGCTGACGTCAGTGGGGGCCCCAGGTGCTCAGGATCTCTGACCACCAGCCCCTCCCCAAAAAGGTTTTCACCTGGGACCAGGAGTCCTGATGCCCAGCCCTGGCTGTTCTAACACAGCGTCTAGCCTCAACACCCACCCCCACTACAAATAGAATCCAGGAGTCCAAACGCTTCATTCGCCTCCCTTAGCCGGGAAGAGAGCCCAGAAGTTCGGCCTTTTAAACACCATTTTCCCCCTTGTTGCTCGTCAGAAGTTCTGTTTCAACAGGCGCCTCTCTGGGTTGGTCAGAGAATCAGCTCTGGGGTAAGTTTAATGGGTAGCAGGTTTAAAACTAATAAAAAAAAGTTCTTTTTCACACAGCGTGTTGTCAACCTGTGGAACTCCTTGCCAGAGGAGGCTGTGAAGGCTAGGACTATAATAGAGTTTAAAGAGAAGCTAGATAATTTCCTGGAGGTTAGGTCCATAAAAGGCTATTAGCCAGGGGATAAATGGTGTCCTTGGCCTCTGTCTGTCAGAGGCTGGAGAGGGATGGCGGGAGACAAATCGCTTGATCATTGTCTTCGGTCCACCCTCTCTGGGGCACCTGGTGCTGTCCACTGTCGGCAGACAGGATACTGGGCTAGAAGGACCTTTGGTCTGACCCAGTGCGGCCATTCTTATGTTCTTATGTTCTAAGTGTAACTACACGGAGGACTCTCCATTGTGCTTTCACACACCCCACCATCCTCACAACTGCCCTGGGAATGCTCTTCCTAGGAGAGAAACACTGTCCTGCTGCAATGGTGGGAGACATCCCGGGAAGGAAGCCGTTTATCCTGCAAGGAAGACCGGGACAAGAGGACACAGCGGGTGGGGGAAGTCGCTCTCCTTTCAAGGTAACGCCGGAGAAGGAAGCCTAAAGTATGACCGAAATTCACATATTTAAAAAATGATGAATGGCTGCCTCTCCCCATTAAGCAGGCTGAGCAGAGGGGGAAAGGATCCCCCACGGCCAAACACCCGATAGGCAGAGCTGCAGGCTGAGCATCCGGCCTCCACCAGCTGAGCAACTAATTGATCTGGAGGTTTATATTTTCATTAGTGCTGAGGAAAGGGCCCAACCTGGCCACTCCAGAGACTGGATTCCTCTGGACGGGATTCTCCATTGCCCGGCACCTAACTCAGTCACTTGCACGAGTGGGTGTAAACCACGAGGGTTTCACACCAACTTTGCACGAGGGTTAGTGACTCCAGAAGGTGCGATGCAATGGAGAAGCCAGCCTGGCCCTAGGTAGGGCACAAGCAGAAGCTGCTCTGCCCTGCCAGTCTGGTTCACCCCTAGCTGGTTTCTCTGCTGAGGCTGCTGGCTGGAATATGGACACTAGCCCTCTAGAACTGGCCTGAGCCCAAACTAACTTATGACATGGAAGAACCAGCTGCCCACCTAGCCTAGGACTGACCCTGCAACCTGCTCTGGCCCGAGTCACTCAGCACAAAGATGCCCGATTCACCTCGGCTTTTAAAACTTTTCTAGAGACATTTTGTGGGCGAGAAGAGAATCTGGGCAGAGCGGGGGACATGAGCCTCTGAGACTCCCGAGTCCTTCCCAAGGGGTGAGAGAATCGGGGTGGGGTTGTCATTTCCAGCGTTCCAGGACAGAAGCAAGGCTGAATCTCTCTCTCAACCTCCAGTCTAGGTCCAAGCTGCTGTATCATAGAATCACCGAATCCTAGGGCTGGAAGAGACCTCAGGAGGTCGAGTCCAGGCCCCTGCCCAAGGCAGGACCAATCCCAACTAAATCAACCCAGCCAGGGCTTTGTCAATCCAAGACTTAAAAACCTCTAGGTA